AACATTGAGTTTCATAAGCAAAGCCTTGAGCAGATCACACAGGAGGAAAAATACAAGCGCTCCGCAGTCACAGCTGTATGATGTACGGAAAATGTATAAGAATGGGAAAGGAAAAAAAACTGTAAGAAATGAATGAGCCGTCTGCTTTGCTCTGTGCTTCATCAGAACACAACCGGAGAGAGACAAGTCGTGAGAAAATCTCAAGTGCGGCTCGGGACAAAGCTACAAAGCGGTAAAAGGAACAAGGGAACAGACAGAGAGCAGTGTCCAGGGTGTTCAGACGGAGGAGCATCCGGTGGCCCATGTCCCAACCCCTGCTGAGCTTGAAAGTCAACATTTATGAATTGAACTTGGACATTTTTTTGTGCATTTCCAGAATGTATCATCATGTATCGTCAGCCAGAGTTGGAGAGAATACTTTGAAAACGCATTTGGTCACAAAATGCCTGCTTTAAAATGCGTCTTGTAATCTCGTCTGTTACCTGGTCCAATTCCGGTACTGTACTCGGAATATCGGAATACTTTTACGCTCTTTTCCATCGTATTATAATGTATTATTACGGCGATGGATTGAACCAACTTTTTGGCTCCACAATTAATGCATTGTTAAACAGAAAAGGATTTACACACATACCAAGTTAGTTTTTGTGTAATCAAATAAAACAATAAAGTAACTCTAACTTCTGAATAACACCATAAGAACAAAGTAAAGCTATAGAATACAGTTACTCAAATAATTCTAGATACGTAGTCACAATATGTATACTTGGTGACTCCCAAACAATATCCCCAGCACATGAAACGTGGCCAATACTTCCATAAGTAAGTTAAGTTTTCCGATCATAGTTAATCATTTATCGCCAATTACTCTGCATATGTTTGACAATCACTCCGCTCCAAAGCGCTCCCAACAGCCCTCTCGGTGTCAGCGACTTGGCCCCGCTTTGCGCGCAAACGATACACACGCACTCACAGCTGGCTTCTTTCTCTTTCCTCTCCTCGCTTTGAAAACCGTCCCACCTCAGTCAAACCCCAATGGTCAAAAACTGCCCCTCCTCTTCCCCCCCTGGTCTATACCTGCTAACACAGTGGTTTCATTGTAGCGGCAGGAGAAGGGACCTCCGAGCTCCTCAAAACACACGGTCTCTTATTGTGCGCGGGACAGCCGGGGTGGGGTGCGGGAGGAGAGGAGTGCGTGTGTTTTTTAAAAGGAGGCGACACAGTGGGATTAGTGTAAAACAAGAAGACTGGCCTGATAGATGGATGGGACAGGCAAGACGGGCGGGACATGTGACAGGAGCGCCATCCCAAACGGCCGATACAAAAAAGCTTCTGTTTTTTCACGTGTGGTATGTGATGTGGTCGTAACACTGTCATAAGTGCTTGTAATTTATTTTCAATGCCCATTTCTAATTATTTTTTCCACTTAATCCATGTTAGTCCTTGCTTCGGTAGTTCTTGAAAGTAAATCCAACTGAACTTGCAATGCAGCTTCTAGTGTGTCTTTGTCGCTTCACTGTCACGGTCACCGATGATGATTTCAATATTTCCGTAACTATTTTTAATCTAGCAAACAAAAAGAGAGACGTTTACAAGACATTTACAGCCATTTCTGTAAACTGTTTTGTGGCCACGCGGATACAGCCATATTGAAATGCAAATGGTAACAATCATATACTTTGATCTATATGTGTAAATGATATATCTGAACGGCCAAATGAAGACGCCTTGTTGAGCCGCCACTGCCGCTTGACCTGCGAGTCCTCTCCTGTGACCTCCTCATATGACCAGCCTCTCCTTAGCTCTGCTTTGCGTCCACTCTCCCTATATTCCTTTCGCATCCCCTCACGCACAAACATCGGCAACAACTTGTAACGCGCCGGTGCCTGATTGGCTCGGTCAGCTGATCCTGAGGTCTCTTTTTTTCCCCCTCTTCTGGTATTTTTGTGTTTCTGCCTTCGCTTGCCCCCCTTTCTCAGTCCATAGATGGAGACACGGCTATCAAGGCTCTCTGGGGACAGACAATATGGCCCAGACAATGGCCCCCAGTGCAAGAGTGGTGGCGGTGGTGGGATGGGGTGGGGGGTATGCAGGGGCGAAAGGGGAGGGGGGGAAAAGGGCCACAGGGGGAGACGGGGCCAGAGCACTGCATTAGTTTGCAAAGCACGGACACGCTACTCAATTACTCCAGTCACTCCGCTGTTTTGCTTTTAATCCGAGGCGCAACAATACGAGCGACACTTCTACAGTGGACTTTGAATTTAACACAACTTTTTCTTTCACTAATATCATCCGCATCAAGTGGTTAATCTGCGTTGCTTTCTGCCTCGAAAGGGAATGCTTCACAATGATTCCAATAATAACAGTTTGTAAATGTCTTTAGGGACACATCAGGATTGAAGCATATAAGAAAACTCTTGGTTAAGAAGCAGAAATAGTAAAAATCAACAGATTGATTGAGAGAGTATTTCAGCAAAACTTGTGACTGTAATTGCATGTGTTCTTGGTTTTTGCTTATAGGCTTCATAAATGTGTTATTTATGATTCCCACATACAAAACATAGGCCTGTACACGGTCCCAGCGCAGCCATGTGATCACACAAGTGGCAAAAGCAGTAATCTGCGGTGTATAATGTGTTTAATCTATGCGCTGACAGGGAGTAAAAGGCTTGTCCTCCAAAGTAGCGAAGACTCCGCCATCCTTTTTCCCCGACACATAAATAATAATAAAAAGCCACTTTACTGTGATGAAATTAAGCGAGGGTCTCCAGGGGTTGCTTTTGCTGCTGCCGATGCCGTTCTTTTAGCTGGCGGCACGGAAAGAAAGTCCCGTCAGATTGGATTTAACAGCGCTTCAGTGTGTTGACACATACACTGTTGACTGTCTACCCCCCATCTCACCAATTCACTCTCCCTGCGAGCACCCCAATAAACCAGGGGGACAAATGCAAGAGTGTGAAAATCCTATACTCCCTGTCACACTAGTTTGACAGCGCCACCCCCCACCCCTCCCCACTTTCCATTTTCTCAACTTCAACTGACACTTCACAGCACTTTTCAATCATTTCACCTCCTCAGCCATAGTCACATATTTTCCCTCCAAAACCGCAAATTAAGAGCTATCAAAACCCGATTTCTCAATTCTTCCGGTTGCTTTGGCTGTCCATCCGCCATGTGTATATTTTTGGTTTTGTTTGTGTGAACAGATGAAGCTGTGTTAGCGCAAGGCAGTCTGCTACCACTATCTGCGGACGTTTTTCATCTGTTTCAGGGGCCAAAAAATACTTCAAAACACATAATAGGAGGATTTGATGAATATAGCAAATAAGGATGAAAGTTTTTATTAACAGTGAGATTTTGTATCTTAAAATCAATTTGTCAGTCTTAAGAAGGCAGTAATTCTTATTTTTCTTTCTGCAAAATTAGCAGCCAAAGACTATAAGTGTGTTCTAGTGACAGAAACAGGCAAATATTTTCTCATAAGAAAATGCCAAACTGCAAACAAGAGCAGAATCCAAGTTTGGGACACATTTTGAGAGAGTCAAAAAAAACAGACTCAGCATAAGATGAAGAAAAGAAAAGCAGAGATTTAAATAATTGTGGCTATCATAAACACGCAACACGGACCCCTCTTGTGCGTGTAAAAAATGTTTTGCTTCATAATGCTGTATATGTGCACACACAAGTGATGGAGTGCATTACTGGAGGGCAGGAGTTTTGAACCACTATCCTCCTAAGTAATTGTAATCCTCACATTTATATCCATACATTCTGCTTTTGGTTGTAATCCTTTAAATTTGTAAGTCCTCCTTGCTGTTGTCATCTCTTTTTTTTCCTCACACACAACCACTTTACAGGATTTACGTGTGAAAAAAAGTGTTTTACCCATTTAAATCAAGGATCAAAAATCCCCCTCTCAGGACACATATGAACAAAAACCCCTTAATGGAATCAACTAAATATATTGAATATTAAAATGCAGAGTGGTATAACTTAATCTGCCCCTTGCATTAGGATTGTCATTATCATTACTACAAAAAAAGGCAAACGTCTATTGAAAAAATATATTAGGGTTAGCGGGGTTTGCACCTCAGAGTGAAGAGCCAAACATCACAGAAGCGCTTCCCCCAGATTAACATTAGCATAAGACGCACAATAATAACAACATGCACATGCTGTCTACAATAGGATTAGAAGCATTGCATTTTGGATTATGGCAGGGGGGAAAAAATGTTAGAATTGTACAATAATAATAATATCAATAATAATGGTGTAAAGAGTTGGAAGAATAAAACGTAAAGGCTTGTTGCTCTACTTGTTGATAGCAGGAGAAGGAAAAGTTGAGAAGTTTGAGATGACAGTCAAAGTTAGAGAAAAGTGTAAGCAGTCCTGTGTTTGGTTTTTTATTAAATCTTTTTGGTTATATGAATTACAGTGATTCTCTCACGTTCAGTTCTGCCTGTTTTGTTTGTTTCCAATCTCATTAGGCTACATCAGACACCCATGTCCCTGGTATTACACGTATACACGCAGACGAAATGAACGCTATATTTGTTTCAATTAATTTCACAGCTAGGGTGAAAAATTGAATTAATCCAGTCGAATAAATGTACAGAAATCGTGCGTTGGTCTTGTGAAAATAATGTATAGCACATGTGCGCGACAGACATCACATTTCGGAGACTCGCAAGTTTCTCACTCCGACACACGCACTTTGTTTACTGGAGTTTGTGGACTGAATCAAACCAACGCACTGAAGTTTTAAGGCAAGACAAACACGCGAAAGAGCCCCTGAAACTAACAGGACTGCCCATACGCGAAACGCGAAAAACCTCCCCAACAAGTCAATGATCAACTCTCGTCCCATCTCATCCCTGGCAAAGTTAAGAGAGTCCAACGCAGATGTTTACCCTGTACTTCTGCTCAGGTCCCGTCCTCTGTCATCCATGTGGAAGAAAGTACGCGCGTATGTTTTTGCGTGAGGAAAAAGCGGCACGTACCTGTTACACTCCTGAGGTAGCTCAGGCTCAGTGAGCATGCTGGAGTAAGGGTCCGTTTCTCTCGTCAACAACAACATAAAACAGTCCCACAATTCTCAAACGAACAAGGTTAGTGTCCCCCAAACAAGACGGGATAGAAGTGATCCTTGAACCTCTCAGGCGCGCTACCGCCGCTCCTCTCTCTCTCTCTTTCTCTCTCTCTCGCTCTCACTCTCCCTCTTTCCCTCTCCCCCTCTCCCTCTCTCTCTCTCTCGGTCTGTCCCTCCGCTGTGTGCCGGCCCTCTCTGCTCCCTCCCCCCGGTGGAAGGAGCGCTGGGACTCGGCTCTTAAAGGGCCAGTAGCAGCACGATGCTTTTCTGCGCTGACTGTCATATGTGCCCAGCGTTGTTGCCCAGAGTGAGTCAATTTTGGAGCTAGTTACAGAAATATTCATTTTTGAAGTAGTTGAAAGTTAGTTGAAATGAATTATAACGCAGACTTAATGTAAAGTGCACATTTCACATCATACAAGAGTTAAAGTGTGACCTGTGTGGGACATAAAAAGAGAATAAATAGTACATTTGGGGAAAAAAACACAACAAAAAAAGTGTTAAGATTGTTCAATTGAGTCGGACAAATATAACTCAAATTAGCAAGTATTCAACCAGTAATATTTAATTCTAATAAAACCCCAGTTTGGGTTTTAATATGTATGATGACGTAAAATGAGGGGTTGTATTTATTGTATGTATTAATCTTAAACTGTTATAATATGTCAGACCACATTATTGAAGGAAGATGAAATCCCACTGGACATGGAAGTGTTTGTACCCCTCCCTGCACACTTCCCATGGCTCACCAGGGGGAATCCCTTACTAAGGCTTCAGAGACAAACAGCCCATCACACATCTTCCACAAGAGCCTCCTCCCAGTGGAACCTGCCTAACACCTCTACAGGGACGGCATAATCACTTTACAGTCCTGTATAGTTGATGAGAATCAAAATCAAGTAATCAACTACTGCAACATGACCTGGCAACGTACTGTATAAAAGCAGAGAGGAAAAAAGGATTTGAATGGAGCATATTAGTATTTCATAAGTGCTTCGGATTAATTACGTTACATCTTGCTTTCATTTTTTAATGGATTTACTTTGTCTGAAAAGAGGAGATGCAAACGTGAAAACATCCACAAACGGGCCCTGGACAGAAACCACCAAATATAACTTGAAAATCTGCACGACTCAAGCAACTCAAAGTTGGCTTCTTCCACTTGCTATTGGTACTTGCCATATACAGTTCCCAATAGTCAACGTGAACAAAGTCAGCAATACAGAAGGAGAGTGGCCTTTGTTTCAGAGGACCCGTTATTGTGCCCTGTTAAACCCGAGACCATGCAGGAGAAAGCAGAGAATCATATATTGAGGCTGGACAGAGCCCCAGAACACTCTCTCCCAAAAAGAGTACTGGGTCCAGTTTTCACCGAATGGAGAATATTCTTACTGGTGTTATTAGTTCAGAGTACAAAGTTTAAAAATATCTGTTGTTAGGTCAGCACAGTGACCCAAACAGTCAAAGGACACAGGTAGATCTGGAATGTCTTTTTTGAACCTTATGTACCTTACCCTCAAAAAGCACTATGTCTATCCAACAATGTGAGATTTTCAAAGATTGCATCCTCAACAAACTTTGAATGTATGTATGCACTTGAACCAATGGTGTAGGTTTGGTTCCAATCTTGGTGGGGACATTCACTACGACCTGAGTCTACACCCATTGACACGGGGTCCAGAGTTTCTCCCCCAGAATTTGTTGTGTAATCACACACTATATTTGCAATAGTGTGTTGCCTTCTATACTAAACTCAGCTGTAGACTGAATGAGAAGCAGTAATAAAAACAGAGGAGAAAATATTGAATTAGAATCTACAGTGAGTAGCTCACTACATTGTTTGACATATACGATCAATCTCTAAAAACAATTCATAGTCCCATGCATACCTACAAAATTCCAACCTCACCTGATGCACTGAAGGGCCTGTTGCTTCTACCTCAACATTCCCTATATTGTTCTCTCTTGGTGGTTGAGTTTCCTATGTATGTTAACAGAAGATTAATCATCACAATTCATAATTTGCTATTACTTGTACTTTCTCTTACTTACTTTCCAACTGTTAAAAAAGCTCCTGATATGTTTTATCTTTTTTTGTGGAGGTGGCATTTTTTCTAAATTATATAAGAAGGTATAGACCAGGGGTCGGCAACCCGCGGCTCCGGAGCCGCATGCGGCTCTTGAGTGCTCCTGGAGTGGCTCCTGGAGCCTTTTCAAACATGTCTGAAAATGGAGTGTGAGGGCTATATTTTATTTCTAGTTTGAATGTGGTTTCTGTAGAAGGAAACACAATCTTTACGTTTTTAAATGCTGTAAAAATGTGTATAAGTAATATTTAATTTCAACATTTCTGTCAACGTAGTGCGTCATATCCTATGACGCGCGGTCACGCGGCCCCGCCCCAGGCGGCCGCTGCTGTAAACAAACCGGCGTGTGTGCATAAGTGAACATGGATCCCAAAGCTAAAACGAGAAAGAGTCGATAACAAGACTGGACTAAGAATGAGAATGAAAATTTTATTTCAGTCAATGAGGAAGGACTGCTTCATGTTTGTAATGAGAAGTTTTGTTGCAACACGAGGAACAATGACGCGCAAAACGACGTAAACGGTGATTACGTGAAGGATTCATTCATCAAAAATTCAGAGCACCTATTTTCAGACTTCAAAACCTTCTCAAAGACGGTGAAAGAAAAGGCCATTAAGGATTTTAATTCAGCTCCAGCAAACTTCAGCCTGTGACGTGATGGATATGAGCAGACAGTGATGCAGGTATGTGACCTCTGAGCCCAAAGCAGATTGATTTACTGTATTTCTACAATTGCATGAAGGCAAAAAAATGGAAGTTAAACTAAAGCAGAGTCGTCACGTGTTGCGTCATTCACAACACGCGTGGTGCAACACGCTGCAGTGAAAATACACATTTGATAATCATGAATGATTATTATGTATTTGTAGCCTTTACTTTGTTATTTAGATATTAGGCTAATATAGCTAATACATCTTGCAGCCTGTGTTAACTTCATAAAAGCCTTATACAAGGCTGTTATTTTTTTTGCGGCTCTAGACAGATGTTGTTTTTAGTTTTTTTTGTCAATTATGGCTCTTTGAACATTTTGGGTTCCCGACCCCTGGTATAGACAATCAAAAACAGACATTCATATACATGAACTGCAGAATCATTTATATAACTTGGCCAATGTCAAAAGTTACATAGTATTTCTCAATACAATGAGTTAACAAGAGTTTGGCAATAAGTAACAGTGTGGATTTTTCTATATTTTCTTTTTTTTATTCCACTCTCAACCCAAAAAGGCAAGTAATGACTCACAGGGCTCTCAAGTATGCAAAATAAAAACTTAAATGACCTGTTGTGGTGTGTTTTGCGCACAACCAGCATGCATCGTTAACGCAATGGAAAATTTAGGTATCCGAGCTTTAATTTCGGGAGCGCTGGTTGCGCTTTGGGAAGAGTCAGGGGAGAGACATGTCAGAGACACAGGGGAGAGACATGTCAGAGACACAGGGGAGAAACGCGGGAGATACGAGGGAGACCCGCACTTGCAACATGGTTCTGTCTGCATATGGTCCGAGCTCGGTACCATGTTAGAGCTGTGCTTTCACTGAGCGCCGCGGCTGTCATTACAAAGCGGCAGCAGCTGCACCAGGACGTGCACATTCGAGTGCATCTCTTGAATGTGCTTAGAGCAAATAACAGCAAGTGCCCGCTGTCACACATTTCACAGAAATTACATTATCAGCAGATAAAGGTTGTGAATCGTGGATCCGTGGAATATTTTCATCCCTAGTTTATCCTGATTCACACAACACACCCACTTATACATTTTGGATAGTAAGAGCACAATAAGTATTTTTTCAGCCTTTCAACCAACCTGTTTCTTTATTGGAGCCAGTTCTGTTCTGTCTCTGTGCCGTGTGAGCTCCTCGGAACATTAAACAGTGCGCTGACAGATTAGAAATAACGTAAGTACTTTGAATGGTAATAGATCTAGAGAACTTTCCTCTGATTACTCACGTGCTACAACGCTCAGGGAATAAAAAAAACACTTGCTTCACGCTGGCTAACTTTTAAAAATTAAACAGTTGCTCAGTGCTTCAGTTTGGCGCTGAAGAAGACAGCCAATCACTGCAGAGAACGGAACGGGTCACGTGCTGCTGCTGCTGCTGTTGCTCTGGAGGCGAGGAGGAGGCGCGACGTGTGCACAAACGGAAGACATGTGTCCCGGACCGTCCGGGTCACGGGACATCATGTCATTTTGGTGGGGACTTTTTAGTCCTCACCAAATATTGGTGGGGACATGTCCCCGTGGTCCCCACGCAAACCTACGCCCTTGACTTGAACTGAACTGAATAACAACAAATTCTATAGACATAGCAAATATATTTTTTCACTAGTCTCCAACAATTGAACAAACTATTTCAAAGGTTGAGCAAAACTTAATACTTGTTAAAATCACGAACAGAAAACACATAAAGAATTTAACTCAAAAGTGTTAAATCATGATCCAATGCCCTTTCGGTAACAAATGAAATTATTCTGTGCATACAATTAAGATAAAGTATATTAAATCACACGCATTTTAGGCTTTCAGTAGATTCTCTCCAGTGCTTTCTGACAAACTGTTTCCCTGTAAGTACTCACATTCTTGAAATACATTTGTGAAGCCAAAAGCAAAATAGTCTTATAAACGATTGGTCTTGAATGACTTTTCAGTTATAATAATACTCTGATAGAAGCCCTGCACTCAGCTTTGGATTTGTGAAAAATATATATGCATAAAAATAATTATAAATAATGGCATCTGACTATAATGAAAACTATATTTGCTGTTTCATTTGGGAATCAAATTGTTTACATCTGTTTGAGTAAAGTGATAGCTTACCAAACAGCATGCATTTGTTTTGACACATCCCTGGCTCACTTACTCAT